CTTCAATGCACTGTTGGGACTTATATCCCAACAATTTTAACATGTAAAAATAGAAACCAATTTGCAGCAAAATAAAATAAAATAAAACACACACGCACTTAAAATACATAGATTACATGGTAATAGGTTGCACTACATAAGATGTAGGGTTGGTAATGGGCCGAGTCGAGCTAGCTCGACCCTTAACGCCACGAGCTCGGCTCGTGCTTGTGGCGAGCCGAGCTCATAGCTCGTTTTCAACGAGCCGAGCTCAGGCTCGGCTCGTTGAAATTGGGCGAGCTCGGCTCGTGGGCTCGCTCTATTTTTTTTTATATAAAATAAAAAATAGAGTTTTAAAAATAAAAAGTGTTAAAAAAATACAAATAATTTAACGAAAACAAGTTTTTATTTTTTTATTTATAACATATTGTAATTTGTAATACTTTTTATAAAGTATAAAATATTTATATAATGAAAACGAATTATTTTTTGAAATACATTTACAAAAAATATATATTTTTGATTTCTTTTTAAAGTTAATAAAGAATAGAGTTTTAAAAATAAAAAGTGTTAAAAAAATACAAATAATTTAACGAAAACAAGTTTTTATTTTTTTATTTATAACATATTGTAATTTGTAATACTTTTTATAAAGTATAAAATATTTATATAATGAAAACGAATTATTTTTTGAAATACATTTACAAAAAATATTTTTTTTGATTTCTTTTTAAAGTTAATAAAATGTAAACCCTCCTCCTTTATCCGGGCTTGGAACTGGCTACATCAATTTTAAGTAGGCGAAGTTAAAAATTGTACACGAACAACTTGTTGTAACGTGTACAATTTTTTAAAGAAAATTAAATTTAACGATTAAAAAATAATTTTTTTTAATTAATATAATTAAATCAAATATCACTTACCTGACGACATGCAATTTCAGCGTATTTATCTTGTAGTCGAAAATGAGCGTCCTGCCAATCCTTCACACACATTAATGTTTCCAAAACATCTTCTTTCAATCGACTCCTGACATCAGTCAAAACCTTTTTACCTGCACTAAAAGCAGACTCCGAAGCAATAGTGCTAACCGGAGGTGTCAATAGATCTTTCGCAATTGTAGAAACGATTGGCCAACGTCTTTCATACTTTCGCCAGAATTCAATTACTTCTTCTGAAGTTTTTTTTAATTGCTCTGTCTGTTGGTATATTATGATTGAAATAATCAATTAATTCGGCAGGCATCGCATTTTGAGTTTCAGTCGATATTTGATGAGATGCAGATGTAGACGACATGGCACTAGATGAACACATTGCAATTGCATCATATCTAAATGTATTAATACCCTGAAATAAATTCATTATTTCCGCAACATCTTCTTCAGTTTCAGCAGAAGGAATAGGTACAGCAGAGGGTACCCGACTAACATTTGCACCCATTCTTTCCGCATATAAATCATACATTCCACATAATCTTTGCTCTAAATTCTTATAGGTGATAGGTGTATCAAGTATTAAAACTTTATTGATTTGATCAATTACGTATTTAGTTTCTGAAATATTATATCGGGGTCTATTGCGCCTGCTAAAAGAAATAACATAGGCAGTTCTTCCCAATATTTTCTAAACTTTAATTCCATAGCAATTAAAATTTCACTAAAAGCAAGATCATTTTTATATTTATGGAATATTCTTGCAATTATATAAAGGCGTTCAAGCACCATACAGCTTGTGAGATAATAAATGCCGGATAAAATCTTTGTGGTCTCATAAAAAGATGCCAAAAATCATTTAACTTTCAAAGCTAAAATCCAATGGGATTCATTTAACATACCATCATCATCACTTCTAACATGTCTATTATTATAAAAGTCAGTTATTAAATTTTCGAAATCTTCACATGATTTTAATAGCAAGTATGTAGAGTTCCATCTATGACCTACGTCGCTAACAAATGTTTTAGCAGTCATCACCCCTAGTTCGACACAAAAATCTTTAAATGCTTGTTTTCTATTAGGAGAGATCGTAATATATACTAATCCATTCCTAATCCTTAGAAGTTCATCCTTTATATGTTTTAAACCATCTTACACAATTAAATTCAAGATATGACACACACAACGAATATGAAACAAATACCCACCAAAATCAGGTTGAAGCGTCCTACATAATCTATTGACGACTACCTTATTAACGCTAGCATTATCAAAACTAAAGGATCGAATTTTACTCTCACATTGATATTCTCTAAAAATACAGATAATAGCATTATATATATTATTAGCATTGTGAGGAAATTCAATAATTCTAAAA